TTGTGTATTCATGGGTACAAACTTAATATCCTGGTCCTCAAAGCTTCAACCCACGATCTCACGATCTAGTGTCAAAGTCGAATATAGAGGAGTAGCCAACACAGTCGCAGAAATCAGTTGGGTCCGAAACCTCCTACTCGAATTGCACATCCCTATTAGTCTATTAGACATGCCACACTCATCTATTGTGATAACATTGCGGCCGTCTACCTTGCTAAAAATCCAGTGCAACATCAACGAACTAAACACGTCGAACTGGATATACACTTTGTTTGGGAGAAGGTCAGCCTCGGTACTGTTAAATTCCTTCACGTTCCGGCAGATTATCAATATGCGGACATCTTCAACAAGGGGCTACCTAAACATTTGTTTCAATGTTTTCGATCCAGTTTATGCCTTTGATCACCTACGGCTCAAACTGCAGGGGACTGTTAGCCGATAATATCTTCTGTATTATTGGCATGTATTATGTGATTATTCTGTATCTTCCAATTAGTTAGGATTGATTGGGTTACCTTAGATAGATCCATAATTGCCTCTTTGTATTTGTATATGTTTAGCCTTTTGTATCACTTTGAGGGGATATACAAACATTTACATTCTTACAAAAATAATGCTGTAAACCCCATGTCTGTCATGTCAAATTCCTTTTTCATGTTTTTTAAAGCTTCTATCAAAAGCAGTTACCTGTAAAAACCAAGTCATCTACATAGATGCAAACAATGAGAATCATACTTTTAACCTTTTGAGTGAAGAGGGTATGTTTTTTAGAGCATTTGCTTAATCTATTTGTTAAAAAATAGTTTTCAATTCTACTGTACCAAGCCCTTGGGGCTTGTTTTAAGCCATATAAGGCTTTCTTCATATGACAGACCTTGTACTCTTCCCCTTTCTTCACATAACTATCTGGTTGGTCAATGAAAACATCTTCTTCAAGAGTCTCATTAAGGAAGGCTGATTTTACATCCATTTGATGTACCTTCCACTTGTTTTGAGCAGCTAAAGCAAGGACTAATATGACTGTTTCTAACCTTATGACAGGGGCAAAGACTTCTTGATAGTCAATCCCATACTTTTGCTTGTAGCTTTTAACCACCAATCTTGCTTTATATCTGTCTACTTCTCCTTTCTCTTTTAGTTTAGTTTTGTAGATCCATTTAACACTAATTGACATGATTTTTAGAAAGACTTACAAGTTCTTGGGTGTCATTCTACATGATGGCTTCAATTTCCTTGTCCATAGTATTCATCCACTTCTCCTCTTGAGTGGCTTCCTAAAATGTTAATGGATTTGCCTCAGAAAACAAAGCAAAGTCTGCAATATCACTTCTCCAGCCTTCTTGTGTTATTATAAATATCTTTCAGATTTTTATAAACTATCTTTGGTGGGCTTTCTATAGAAGATTCAGGAGAATTAAGTTCTTGAGAGGTTTGAATACTGCTAGATGTCATAGGGGAGTTCATAGTGGGAAAATCTTGATGATGATCTTCTTGATTCACAACAGTCCCTTTCTTGTCTTCTTCATCTTCTAAAATTTGTGTAATAGTCCCGTCTTACTTTGATTTATCATTCCAACCATTTTCTTTCTTAAATATCATACCCCTGCTTATGATGACCTTTTTGGTATTATACAACTTATAGGCTTTTGATCTATCACTGTATCCTACAAATATGGTCCTTGCTTATTTGTCATCCAATTTATTTCTCTTCTGTTCAGCTATGAGAGAGTAGGCTATACACCCAAATACTCTTAAATGACCAACAATGGGCTTATAACCACTCTATGCCTCCTGAGGTGTCTTATCAGAAAGTCCTTTTGTAGATGTTCTATTCATCCGATAGCATGCACAAGCCACTGCTTCCCCCCAAAAGAATTATCAAGGTTTTTACTTTTTAACATGCTCCTAGCTTTCTCCATTATTGTTCTATTCAACCTTTCAACCACCCCATTTTGTTGAGAGGTGTACCTTGTAGTTACTTGATGATAAATTCCATTTTCCTTTAGGAATTCCAAAAATAAGTAGAGTTATATTTCCCACCACCATCTGACCTTATAGTCTTGATCAGATGTCCACTTTGTTTTTCAACATAGGCATTAAAGATTTTGAAATAACTGAAAACCTCAGATTTTTAAAAAAAAAAATAGACCCATAACTTTATGCTAAAGTCATCAATGAAGGTGAGCAAGTACCTGTTTCCACCAATGGATGGGGTCTTCATAGGTCCACACACATCCGTGTGAACAACTTCAAGAGCTTTAGTGGCTCTCCATGCTCCTTCTTGAGGAAAGACTTATCTCTTTTGTTTCCCAAGCATGCAACCTTCACAAATTTCTTCCAGTCTTCCTATGTTAGGCATTCCTTTCACTAGATTATGTCTATACATATAGTTCAGGTATCCTAGATTTGCATGACCAAATCTATGATGCCAAAGAAGAGAATTATGTATTGTAGACATGTTGAAAGAGAATAAAGTGTTTTCTTTGAAGTTAAAAGGAAACATTTTATTCACTGTCATATTGATCTTACCAAGTGCATTCCCATTTGGATCCTTGATTTCACATGACTCTCCTTTGAAGTTTAGATCATATCCCTTTTGTAATAATTGCCCAACACTAAGTAAATTGTGCGTTAATCCTGGCAGAAAGTAAACATTTGGTACCTTCTTTTTTCCAGTCTTTGTATCAACTAGAATTTCTCCCACATCTTGTACACTTAATCTCTTGTCATCTCCAGTTTTTAATTCCTTCTTTTGAGTATCATCAATGCGAAGAAAGATACTCTTATTCCATGGCATATGGTTACTGCATCTGCTTTCTACATACCAAGTATTATCAAAAGTTATCTCTTGTGTGCTAAAAATCATAAACATAGTATCATATTCACTTGCTTCCTTTATATTCATGAAAGTGTTGTCTCTTTCGTCTGCTATTCTCTTCCTACAATACTTGGCTATGTGGCCGAATTTTTGACAATGATAGCATTGTACTGGTGAAGATGGTTTTCCTCTGCCTCTTCCTCTTATCTCTCCTTGTTGCTCTTTGACATGGAATTTTTTTCTTTCTTGTATGTTAGAGGCTTTCAATTGAAAGGCTTTTTCATACGGCGTGGAGTCAAACTGTCTCAGCCTAAGTTCGTGAGATTGGAGGGTTCTGATCAAACTTTCAAGAGACAGAAAGGAAAGGTCTTTGGATTTTTCAATTGCAACCACTATGTATTCGAACTTCCTGGTTAGACTCATGAGAATCTTTTCGATCACTTTTTTGTCATCTGTATCTTCTCCGTTCAACCTTAATTGATTTCTTATTAGAACCACTTGATTGTAGAAATCTTCAATTGTCTTAGAATCCTTCACTTTAATCTATCGAATTCACATCTTTGTTTGCGAGGGTTTGAACAACGTGGGGTTGGCGAACCGTAACAATCGATTTAGGTTTTTTTTCACTTCAAGACGTTTCTAGCCGGTTACAAATAGTTTTTTTGTTCAAATGATGTAGGTAACCAATTTTAAAAAAATTGATGGTTTATTATTCGGAAAAAAATGTCCAGTGACTTAATCATTCAAAATGAGAAAGTTTAATGGTTTTTTTCTTTTCAAAAATAGTTCATAGACTTAATCATTCAAAATGAAAAGTGTAATGCTTTTTTATTCGAGAAAAATAGTTCAGAAACTTACTTATTCAAAATGAGATACTTTGTTGGGTTTTTCTAAAAGCACCCAATAGTGTTTTGTTCTTAACTTTTACAAGGTTTTAATTTCCTAAAATAATTTCTTTTAGATATATATATATATATATAATAAACACGGTAAAATAAAAATACCAAATACACTAATGTTTAAATCGTAATTCATCGGACAACGATGATAGCTATTTTTATCGAACGGAGCTTGTTTAAACGATTAAGATTACACATTCAAATCACATTCCATAGTGTTGTTTAAACGATTTAAGAGTATGATTACGCATTCAATCACATTCTAAAGTGTTGGTTAAGAGCATCTCCAACAACAATGCTATATTTTTTTAAGTCAAAATCTTAAAAAAAATTACATTCAACTCCAACAACTACTCTATTTTAATAATTTTAACATTAACTATATTATTAAAATATTCAATACATTTAATATAATATTATTACTCTTTCCTAAACATATATTTGCAATCCTTTTCATTAATGGAAAGTATTAGAATAACACTTTCTCACTTTATTTTAAGATTTCTTTAAATTTAAATATTTTTACAATCTTTCTTTTGTTTTTTTTATTTTAACAATTAAAATAGAATAGCTATCGAAGAAAAAAAATAAACTAAGAAGCCATTTACTCAAATGCTTATTCGGTAAGCGCTTATTAATATGAGTCAACACTATAATTTATTTAGATGTGTAAAATTTTAGTACATCAAAGCATATCAAATGCAACAATTTACTAGGTAAGTATTTACTTGAGTAAAAGTCGTCATCCTCACTTACCGGGTAAGACTGTTCATCTTTCTCATCGTTCTTACCCGATAAAATTCTTGGCCCTTCTCATGTTCGTCCGATGAGGAAATTTATGCGTTAAGCACTTGCCAAATAAGTATTTTGTAAACGAACCCTAATAATCCTTTCTTTCTATTTTAATATTATCCGTTGGAGTCTTGTAATTAAATCATCTATTGGTGGCAAAAAGAGAGAAAGAAATTGTTGGTGAAAGAAAAGGGACTTCACACGTGGCGTTATTTGACTTGGAGAAAGTGGGTCGGACCCATTTGAATAGAAGATCCATTAATTAAAATACACAACACTTAGTGGAGGATCCAAATATATTTGAAGACCAAAGAGATAAAAACGCACATGGTGGCTTCAAATCCTCTACGAATATCCTCCTTTTAATCAAATCGAAATGACCCTACTTTAAAACACACACACTCTCTCTCTCTCTATATCTATATATATATATATATATATATCTATATGTATATATATATATACATGTTATTTGGTGGTCTTCCATTGAATTCCCTTCCCATCTTGACAAAGCATTGATCAATTCTCACAAAAAACATGTCAACCACATCTACTATACTCTTTCATGATGCTTTAGGGCATTTCTATTCGAGAAAACTTCTACTTCAAACTTTATCCGAACATCCGGCAGCGGCAACGACAATGATGGCAGCTTCATCACCGTCAAGCTCATACACAGTGCATAGCAACTTCGATTCGAATGTGGTAATGGTTCTGTCGGTGCTTTTATGTGCTTTAATTTGTTCGTTAGGGTTGAACTCCATCATCAGGTGTGTATTAAGATGCACGAATTATGTTGGCTCAGAAAGCAGCACTGGCCAGGAAAGCACTTCTGTTAGGTTAGCCAACACTGGAATCAGAAAAAAGGCACTGAAGACGTTCCCAACGGTTAGTTATTGGGAAGGATTGCAATTACCGGGATTAGACAAGGAATGCGTTATATGCTTAGGTGATTTTTCAAAAGGCGAGCGAGTCAAGATATTACCTAAATGCAACCATGGATTCCATGTGCGGTGCATCGACAAATGGCTTAGTTCACACTCATCTTGTCCTACTTGCAGACACTCCCTACTTGACACGTGTCAAAAAATTCTCACTGGTGGAAACTACCCATCATCACAACCTGAAGCACAAGGTCCGAGCAGTACCACGACTATAAGCATTATGCCCCTACAACATGAAGGTCTTTTACGAAATTACGAATCCTAAGTTGTTTCTTTATAAAACCTATAAAGCAATGTGTAATTACTGCAATACCCATAGATAGGTAGCAATTGAGGTGATATAAAGTAGTGCTAAAACCAAAAGCTTTTTTTCCTTAGCATAAACTAGAAGTCGTGTAAGCTCACAATTGTATCATAAGTTCTTTTTTTTTCCTCAAACGGTCGAACTATTATGATACATCAGTTCTAAATCGTTTTAGTATAACATATATTTTTAACGATAACTGAGTTAACATCTATTTACTTTTATTAAATCACATAACAATGCATACCATAAATCATATAGTTTCACTTTTGGGATGATGATGTGTAAAGTCACATCCTTATGTCACAAAACACAATAACAATGTGTATCTACAAAGAACAACATAGTCTACTAAGTCTTTCATACATATCAAATGATGTGAGGACTTTAACTTGAGGATCTAGCTTTTTAGACCAAAAGCTGATTTGTTCATTTTAGCAACTTTAAATTTGTATAGTTGGATATGACAGGCTATGTCTTGAAATGTATATCGTGTTTTGTTATTACTCGTTGAGTTTCAACTAATTAAGCAGTAAACAAAAACCGACTCAGACATAATTTCAACTTTATGTAATATGTTGTAATAAAATGTGGATAGAATATGGAAACTCGAGATATCAAAGAGATTATAAAATTATATGTGCTCATATTAAAATGTAGGTGAGAATAATGTAGTATATAATGATGCCAATTATCGTTGAAATAAGAAGATGAAACAAATAACGGGTTAATGACATTACAAGTGAAGCGTACACCAATGTATATTTGCTCGACTTCAAGAATCTTAATATCCAATGAGAAACTTAGAAGACCTCAAGCATACTATGCATTATGGGATGGTTGGAAATGTACACTTTATAACAGTGAAAAACGACATTGTTTTGATTATTTCTTTAACGTTCACAATGTATTCAAAACGTTATTCCATCTTTGTCTCTAAGTAATTTCACTAGTCAAAATTGATGATGAGAAACCATGTAGTGGTAAAAAAATGTATAAATCCATGATAAAAACAATGTATAAATCACAAAAGAAAGAAAATCTGTCGAAATCCAAAAAACGCTTTATAATAGAAAAAACCCACAAGTATTTTGAGCCGGGATAGCCAAAGAATCATTGTGCCTTTTTCGATAACGATGAAACATTATGTTTTGCAAAATATTCCACTACTAGAAAAACAGGTATCAGCGACGAACATCAGCGAGGGAAAATATCCCTCGCAGATCAGCGAGGGTAATCCCAAAAAACTAAATCCCTCGCTGATCTGCGAGGGATCAGCGAGGGAATTGCCAAAAAACTCATTCCCTCGCTATTCCCTCGCTGATCTTCGAGGGATCAACGACGGAAAGTTTCCCTCGCAGATCAGCGAGAGAATAGCGAGGGATTTAGTTTTTTGGTATTTCCCTCGCTGATCTGCGAGGGATCAGCGAGGGAAATACCAAAAAAAACTTTCCCTCGCTGATCCCTCGCTAATTTGCGAGGGAAATTTCTTCTACAAAATCCGTCGCTGGTAGCATTACCTACGACTGTTTGACCGACGGAGTATCAGCGACGGACAACCCTTTCAGCGGGAAATTTCCCTCGCTGATACCCAGCATTTTTGTAGTGTTCTAAGCCTTATGTCTTTTAAAAACCTAATGCGTAATTACCTTTTCATATAATATACAGTCGACCGATTTATGTGAAAACTGCAAAAAAATATTAAGAACCATGAGAACCTATATATTCAAGTGAATTTTAGTAAGTATTTGTATGCGTAGTAGATATATATTGATGAAAATACCGATCAACAGAATACATATTTTGATAACATATATGCATTAATAAATAAATAGTTTCTCATAATTCTCAAATTTCTTATGGTCTGATGGTTAAGTCATCATTTTCATGTGAACTCACATTTTTCAGTTTTACATTCAAAGGAAACTCTTTAGCTTTTTCTTTCGTCTAAGACAAATTGTAAAATCATGAAAACTGAAACATGTTTTTGGAATGAAACTTCAATTGTTTTGTAGGTAAATTACATTAAAATTAAAATAAAATATATTTTGTTCTGTTTCTTGTTTTGTAACACATTCTTTCAAAAATTTCATTGACTTTACGATAAGACATCTTAAAGCTTAAAGTCTAATAACGTTTTTAAGGTTTTCATTTACGGTGTTATATTCATCTTTTATTCAAAATATATATATATATATATATATATATATATAATATGATTCGTTAAATGTATCAAAGATATAATATATTCCCTTAAGTACATTCACACACCATAATATATTATTTAGAGTTAACCATTTGTTGGTTCCAGAAGAATTTACAAGAATTTAAAGATAACAGTTTGTAGAAGAGGAGGGGTGAATACAAATACACAAAATTTCACTTTTATAGAGCAGTTCTTCACTTGAGGTAAGGTTAACTTCGCAGGATTAAGATTTATGCTACTTATATTTGTATTATCGAGAAGAGAGTCTTCATGGCTATTTATACCCATTGTATTAAATGCAAGTCAGAAAGTACAAAGCATGTGACAAGCTTCTAGAGGTGATCTTGTCCTTTGTCTTCAGATATACAGGCTTTTGGCTGTACATGAAAGTGATCTTTCACAAAGTAGGTAAGCATGTTCAGAGACAATAGAGTGACTCTGTACATGTGCTTTACTTTGAGAGGTATGAGTTTGTCCTTTGTGTGAAGGAGGATAAGACAAAACTAATCTTGTATAGCAAGATTCATTTGATAGCTGGCACTAGCATACTTGTGAACAACAACTGGCTGCTACGACATATTTTGCCTTTGTAGTAGAAGTTGAAACACAGTTCTGCTTCTTTGAAGTCCAACTGACTAGCTTGTCACCTAAGAACTAACATGATCCAAATGTGCTCTTTCTATCCATCTAACAACCTGCCTGGTCAAAATTTGTAAAAGTAATTATCTCAAAACCAAGATCTTTTGGATACCAAATGCCAAGATTTGGTGTGCCTTTGAGATATCTCAGGATTCTTTTGATCGCAGCAAGGTGTGACTCTTTTGGATTAGCCTGATATCTTGCACAAAAGCATGTTGCAAACATTATATCTGGTCTACTTGACATTAAGTATAATAAAGATCCAATCATGGCACAGTAATTTTGTTGATCAACAGATTTTCCAGATAAATTTGCATCTAATAAAGTTTCAGTAGCCATGGGAGTCTTTATTGAAGAACATTCAGACATATTGAACTTTTTCAAGATATCTTTGACATATTTAGATTGATTTATGAATATGCCATTAGGGAGTTGTTTTACTTGAAGACTAAGAAAAAAATTTAACTCGCCCATCATACTTATTTGAAATTTAGATCGCATGATGTCTGAAAAGTTCTTGGAAAACTTAGAATTTGTAGAACCAAAAATAATGTCATCAACATAAATTTGTATCAAGATCAGATGCTTACCTTGCTTTTTCAGAAACAACGTAGTATCGATCGAACCTTTCTTGAAACCAGACTTGAGTAGGAATTGAGTTAAGGTGTCATACCATGCCTTAGGTGCTTATTTTAAATCATAAAGCGCCTTGTCTAGGACATAGACATGATCTCGCTTTTCAGGATCAACAAAGCCTTCTGACTGACTCACATAAACATCTTCATAAAGAATACCATTCAAAAATGCAAATTTCACATCCATTTGGTATATCTTGAAGTTCTTGTGAGCCGTATACGCTAAAAATATTCTAATAGCTTCAATGCAAGCGATTGGAGCAAATATTTCGTCATAATCAATTCCTTCTTGTTGACAGTACCCTTTTGTAACCAATCTAGCTTTTTTCTTACAACAATTTCCATTTCGTATTTCTTGTTTCGGAAGACCCATTTTGTACCAATAGTTGATTTATCCTTAGGTATCGGTACAAGTCTCCAAACTTGTTTTCTTTTAAATTCTCGAAGTTCATCTTGCATAGCCTTAATCCAATATGGATCTTACAATGATTCAGATGGCTTCTTTAGCTCTATAGCACTAAGAAAGTTAACGAACAGACACTCATTTGCGGTAACAGATCATGTTTGCACTCTAGAATTTACATCATCAATTACTTGCTGCGGGCGATGATCTTTAGTCCACTTGTGAGTACAAGGTAAGAGTTGAACATTAATTAAGTGGTTCTGATCATCATACTCGTCGGTTACAACTTAAATTTCAGCCTCAACTTCTGAGTGTTCAACTTCATCAGCAGGTAAATCAGGCTCAAATTGATCAACAGCGGGTTAAACAATTTCAGATTTAGTATGTGCTTCAGCTTGAATAGTCTTAGATTCAGTAACTTCAACAGTTTCTGGATGAACACAATTTGATGTTGAACAACCAGCTTCAGATGGTCCAGAAAGTTGTGTAACTTGTGGAATCGGGACCACTGGTTCATTAACTTTTTGGTAAGTCAGATATATCATATTCTACAAGAATATCCCAAGTTAATTCAAATGCATCTTTAAACAATGAATTTAAATTTGATTTAACAATAAAATCAGAATTCATTGTCCTGTTATTCAATACATGTTCTACACTAATTTGTGTAAAAGCTAACGGTTGTAGATTGAGTCCTGAACCGTGTTGTTCAAAAGTCAACGATTCATCAAATCTAACATTGATGCTTTCAATGACAATATTTGTTCGTTTGATGTAGACTAGGAAGGTTTTTGACTAGAAAGAATATCCAATAAAGTAACATTCATCAGCCTTTTTTTATCAAACTTCCCAAGATATTCTCGATCATTTAGCACAAAGCATCTGCAGCCAAAAATATGAAAGAATTTAACATTAGGCTTGCGATTATTGATTAACTCATAAGCAGTTTTATGAAATCTTTTGACAATGATCCTGCGATTTTGTGTGAAGCATGCAGTAGAAATAACTTCAGCCCACATATAAAGAGGTTAGTCAGAGTAAGCAAGCATTGTACGAGCATCTTTAACCAAAGTCCGGTTTCTTCTTTCAACAAATCCATTTTGTTGCGGAGTTCGAACAACAAAACAATTATGAGAAATTCCAACAGAGTGAAGAAAACTTTGAAGGCTCTTATTTGTAAATTATGTGCCGTTGTCACTTCAAATCTTTTGCACAAGAAATTGTAGAAGAACTTACATGCGCTTGATGAATGCAATAGTTAGCTCCAGTGCATCAGATTTGGCTCTTAGAAAC